GTCCTGAGTTCAATCCCCAGTACTGCAAAAATAATAATAATAGGGGCTGGGGAGATGGCTCAGTGGAATAAGCACTTCTGAGTTCAATCCCTGGTTCCACCAAAAAAAAAAAAGAAAGAAAGAAAGAAAGAAAGAAAGAAAGAAAGAAAGAAAGACAAAAATAATAATAAAAATAAAAAATTATGACCTAAAGAACTTTCTGTGTGAATCTTTTTAAAGATTTTAAAATTTTTTTCTTAAGACTAATAATTCACTTTGATTCGTCTTAAGTGAATGGTATTTTGTTATATTCAATTAAGCTAAGATACAAATATCTCAAACACTTTTTCTCTCCAAATAAATACTTTGTAATTTATGTAAGGCCTAACTTTTGACCTATCCTAAGCACAAAATAAACATCTAACCAATTACCACTAACAACTGAATGCCAGTAATTTCAGTGATGGGGAGGCCGAGGCAGGAGGAACGCAGGTTTGAGGCCAGCCTAGGTAACTTGGCAGATCTTGTCTCAAAATAAATTTAATTAGGAAGTGGCTAGGAGCCAAGCATGGTGGCAGTAATTCCAGCACTTGGGAGGATGAGGCAGGAGGATCTATATGAGCTCAAGGCCAGCCTGCACTACACAGCAAGACTCCGTCTTTAAAAAAAAAAGTGGCAAAGAATGTATCTTAGTGCTATGTGGAGTCTTAATATGTGAGAGGCCCTTGGTTCAACTCTAGTACCCCAGAAAACAGAAACAAAACCAAAAATGCCCTGGATGGATGGGAAGTGGGTCAAGAAAAGATCCATTTCACCTGAACAACAGAGTGGTTAGTTTAGCCAAAAGAATATGAAACCCATTCACTACGACTTCAGTAGACTTTCACAGAAAGAACTTACCACTGTGTGGTTTAGGAACAGACACTGACAGCAATGAAATGACAGAAAATGAATAAGCTTAAAACAATCAGCGTGGATATTCCTTTTTCTGTGCTTTTCCATTCCCCTTATTTAACCATCTTCAAACAATTACAAGTTAGACTTACCCAAATTAGAAACAAATCACTACCACTATTTTCTAACATCAGCAGTGCAGGTAATCCATGTATGAGACAAGTATTCAAAAAGTCTTGCTTATACTTATGTTTAAGCACTTGCAGTGCTACAAAAGTGCTAATATTTCCCTCTAAAATATCAGCTTCTGGAGTGTCTTGTCGGAAATATCTGCGCCGCGAGGAAGAGGTCCTGCAGATTTCCATGCAGCTGGCTCGAGATGGTGAAGCTGTTTATTGGAAACCTGCCTCAGGAGGCCACAGAGCAAGAGATCTGCTCACTATCTGAGCAGTATGGAAGGTGCTGGAATGTGACATCATTAAGAACTATGGTTTTAATAGTTCTTTGTGCACGTAGAGGACAAGACAGCGGCGGAGGATGCCATCTGGAACCTGCACTACAGTAAGCTGCACGGGGTAAACATCAATGTGGAAGCCAGCAAGAACCAGAGCAGAGCTTCAGCCAAGTTACATGTGGGTAACATCAGCCCCACCTGTGCCAAGAGCTTCAGGCCAAATCTGAGGAATGAGGTCCAGTCATCGAATATGGCATCATGAAAGATTATGCCTTTGTACACGTGGAGTGGGCAGAAGATGCAGTGGAGGCCAACAGGAGTTTCAAGGTAGGATGTGTGTGGGCTGAAATTCTGAGCTGCGGTTGTGCATGAGAATACACACTTAGTTGGTACCCCATCTCCAGGACGTTTTCAGCTCTGTGCATTCAGTCCCTGAGGAACTGTGGACCTTAATTTACCTTGCTAAGTTCAGACCTCCTTTCTTCTTCTCTCTAGTGCCCATTATCCTGTGCTAGCTGTTGTTTAATACTTCTGTAGAGTCCCATTCATATTCCGTATTCCCAGCAGGCCTCACTGTACGCAGAAGCTGTGGTGGGGGCTGCCTGTCTCCTCCCTGCCTCCAGTGGGTGTGGGGTTTGGGAATGACCTGGTGAGAGAGTCACCACTGCTCTTGGGTTTCTTTTAGCCCAAAGGCTAGAGCTAGAGTTGGATCATTTTTATCTTTCCAGTGAAATAAATGGTTTTTCAACTTAGGAAAAAAAAAACTTAGCCTCTGAAAGTATATATTTCAATTAGATATAACTCAATTTCTAATATTTTTAAATATCAGGTAGGTGGCCTAAAATTTTCAGTATCAGGCTTTAAGAAAAGCAACTTTCTCAAAAAAACTCAATTTAAATGTCCCAAGTCTGGTAGTTTCTCTCTCTCTTTTTTTTCCTTTTTTCTTTTTTTTGTATTTTAGTACAGGGTCTACAGGGTCTCACTACACAGATCAGACTCAGTGATCCGCCTGTGTTCAGCCTCCCAAGAGCTGGGATTAAAGGTGTGCCATGGTCAGTCTCAATGATTGTCTCACAGCGCCCCAGGGGTGGGGCCAGCCCAGCACACTAGTATTAAACCCCAACCACTGCATCTGCCTAAGCAGGTACTTTAATATGCTGAGCTATTTGGCCAGCCCTTAGTTTTGCTTAAATATGTATAGCATTTCCATTTAGATATTTAATACATTAATGCTATAAAATTGCTTCCTATATTCAAAACTAAACTCAAAACAGAATTTCTTCTATAAAATTAGCATTTAAAAAACAGTAAGTAAAATCAGCATAAAAATTATCATACTATAAGGCTGGGGACTACACACCTGCCTGGCAAGCACAAGGACCCAGGTTTGATTTCCAGCACTGGGTGTCGTGCCAGTTCCCGAACAATGGACATACTGTGCCAGCCACCCAAACCAGGTGTAGTGGTACACATCTGTATCCCCAGTGTTGGGGAGGCTAAGACAGAAGGATCACTATGAGTCTGAACTGTGTAGCGAGACCCTATATCAAATAAATAAATAATTTTTAAATTATCATACTACGAAACTAAACAATTTTTATGATAGTTATGAATTAGTTTTTTGGGTTTTTGTTGTTTTGTTTTGTTTTGTTTTGTTTTTTTGAGACAAAGGGTCACTATGCAGCTCAGGCCAGCCTTGAACTCACAGTGATTCTCCTGCCTCAGCCTTCCAAATGCTGGGATTACAACCATGTGTCATGATGCCAGGCACGGATAAGTTTTTTAAGCAAGTCATCTATTCATTTCCCAAGATTGCTCCAAAAGCATCAGAATGAATCACATGTTTTAAAAAAACGTTTCCAAACTTTATCAAGACTGTCCATGTGTGGTGCCACACACCTGTAATCCTGACACAGAAGCTGAGGCAGGAAGTCTGACCCAAATTCTAGGCCAACCTGTAGTATACAGTGGGTTCAAGGCCAGCCTGAATCACCTAAGACCCTGTCTCAAACAAACCAAAGAATATCTATGCAAAATACAGATGAAAGGTGGGCATGGTGGCACACTCCTATAATCTTAAGGAAGGCTGAGACAAGAAGATCTAAAATTTGTGTCCAGTCTGGGAAATTTGGCCAGACCTTGTTTCAAAATTTTAAAAAAGGCTAGAGATGCATCTTAGTGTGAAGGTCCGATACTAGGTATACCCTAACAACGACAGATTAAGATATAAATAAAACCTGAAAGTCTGACTTTGAGATAGATTTCACCAAACAGCAGATGAACAGACATGTCAAGGATCCCCAATGAACACTACAGACCTAATGGGTTATATTTTGTGTAGAGTCCATGGCAGAGGCAAATCGGCTACTAAAAAGAAAGGATGGGCTAGTGAGATAGCTCAGTGGTCTAAAGCACCTGCTTAGGCAAACTTAGGCAAGCACTGAGCCTGTGGCTGGATCCCCAGCAGGTGCCGCACCAGCCCCACCCCTGCCCCCCAGGGCGGGCTGAGCCAGCCACAAAAAAATTTTAAAAAGGGACGTGGTTTCAAATAAAACGCTGCAAATTTGCAATGGCAGAGCATTAATTAACGTACTTTAAAACAAATCGAGTCCTCCTTAACCACTTTCTTTTTATGTTTGTCCTAACAACTGAGTCCTACAGTAATACCAAGAAATTTGTTGTTCAGTCTTCCTGTCAGTGCGAATAATCTTTATTATATCCTCAAAAGGTGTGCATGTGAATCTGTTGGAGTCTCATGTGATGTTATTTATAAACTACCAAGTAGGAATGGGAAAAAAAAAAAAAGGTTAATAGAGGACCGAGTTGTAGCTCTGCAGCACCAGCACCTGCCTGGCAAGCACAAAGTCCTGAGTTCAATTCCTAGTACAGAAAAAAAAAAAAAAAAAATGGTTTAAAACGGATGAAAATTAGGCTTTCCAGGAACAAGCACTGCCTTAACTAAAAGACCCTCCCCAGAAAAGGCTATAAATTTTTTGCCGAAGTACCAGGAGTACCAGGAGTTACTCCAACGCAAAGTATAGACAGGCACAGTATCTGGAACTTTTTTTTCTTTTTTTCTCGCAGGATCAAACTCAGGACCTTGCACAAACTGGGCAAGGATTGTACCATGGAGGTAGGCGCTAGTTCCAAAGCTCTATCTTAATGTCATTGCGGAGGAAAAAATTAAGACTGCCAGCAGGGGGGAAAAAAAGAATCTAGAAACATGACCTTGCCCACGAGCCGAGTACTCCTGCACCCCTCCCTCCGGCTTCCTGGGAGCCGGCTCCCGCACTCCTAATTGGCCAGCCTGCCAGGTCCAGCATCTGCCCGATAGTGACAGACAAGGGACTCTCCAAGGAAGACAGGAGGGTCTGGAAAGAGGCGGCTGGAAAACGGAGGCCCAGGAGGGAAAAAAAAGAGGCGCTCGGGAGGGCTGAGGTCGGGCGTTCGCGGCTGCAAGGGACAGGGCTCGCGCGGAGCGCTCGGGGACAGCAAAGGCAGCCTGGAGAGGGCCGCCGGCGGGCAGCGGAAGGGAGGAGTGCCGGGGCTGCGAGTCCCGGGGGCTGCGGGGAGAGGACCGCAGGGGCGCGGGGGCGGGAGCGCCGGGTGGGTCAGGGTCAGGGCGCGGGTCGAGGTCGGGGCCGGGCGGGGCGGCCCGGGCGCGCGCACTCACGTTCTCCCACCAGCAGGATCCTCACGTCTTTCTTCATGTCGGCGGCTCTCTGGGGCCGGGCTCGGCCCGCACGCATGGAGTGACCTCCTCTCGACGGGAGCGCCGACCCCAAGGCGCCGCTCTGCACGCGCTGCCGCCGCCACCTGCCAGCCTCTCAGGCCGCTCTGCCCGAGCCTCGGCCGCCCGGGCCAGCCGCGCCGCCCGCTCCGCTACCTCCTCGCTAGGGAGCCGGGACAGCACCAGCTCCACCTCCTCTCGGCTCCGCGGGCGGCGGCGCGGGCGACGGCGTGCGGCGAGGGACATGCGCTTTCGGATCGCGAGCGCTCTTCGGGCCAGGAGAGTGCCCCTGCCGCCGGACTAGGGTAGCACAGGGCAGAAAAGCCTAGAGCACCCTCAAGTAGTTACAAGGGTAACCCGTAATCTCAGTGGCAGATTTCTGTCCAAAGTCACTTACCTAGCGATTGGCAGGAATCATCTGAGCTAATTTAAGCCAAGTGACTTTCTTCTGGTTTCGGTGATCAGCATGGTGGCGCGGCGTGCGGTGCCGCGGATTGAGCCTGGGTCCTCAGGCAGGCGCTTATCCCCAACCTCAAGACTTTGAAGTTTGTTTTGTTTTGTTTTGTGGAACCGGGGATTTAACTCAGGTCCTTACGCTTGCCAGGCAGGTGCTTATTCTATTGAGCTATCTACCCACCCCCCAAAGTGACTTTATAACTAAGCTAACTAAGTCAAATTATTTTCTTCTCTGGAGTTGGTATTTATGTATTTATTTATTTATTGGTACCAGGAATTGAACTCTGTACCTTGGGCCTGCCAGACAGGCACCCTGCCGCTAAGCTATTATCTCCGGCCCTCTACTTGGTGTTTTTTTAAAAAAATTAATTAATGTATTTATTTGGAACAGGGTCTTGCTAAGCAGCTCAGACTGGTAGCAATCCTCAACACTGGGATTACAGGTGTGCGCCACCATGTGATACCAGGGGTTGAACCCAGGTCCTTGCACTTGCCAGGCAGACAGGCGCTTAGACGCTGAACTATCTCCCCAGCCTATCTCCAGCCTACTTGGTTTATTTTTATGGGAGAGTCTTTTAATACTATACTTCTTTCTCAGGCTGACCCAGGGTCATGTCAGACGCAGGATTTCTAACATTGCTTTAACTTTCTCCCATCTGGGAGAATCTGTTCCTACATGCCTAATGCTTGGCTCACAGTGAGAAATAGATATATAACCATGCCCCACATAAAGACATTTACATCAATGGATTAAATAAACCATAATAGGTATACTAAATAGCCTAGGTAGTTGACTATACTATCTAGGTTTGTGTGTGTGTACACTGCATGGTGTTCACACAGTGGCAAAGTCATCTAAAGATGTATTTCTTAGAATGTATGCCTGTCACCACTGTGGGTCTGAGATCCGTAGCAAGACCCTATACCAAGTAAATAAATAAAGAACGTATACCTGTCATAAGTGATTTATAAACCGGGCATGGTGGTGCACGCCTGTGATCCAGAGGCAGAGGCAGGAGGATGGTTGTTTGAGACCAGCCTGGACTACAACATGAGCTCAAGGCCAGCTTGAACTGTGTAGTAAGACCCTGTCACAAAAATACAAAAATAAGGACTGGCCAAATAGCTCAGTGGATTAAAGTTCCTGCAAGCAGACACAGGAGCTGGGAGTTCGATCCTGGGCCTACCATGCTGGCCCCTGCCCCTGGGGCACGCTGAGATGGCAGTTGTGACTGGGCATGGTGGCACATGCCTGTAATCCCAGCCCGTGGGAGGCTGTAAACAGGTGGATCGCTAAGTCTGATCTAGTAGTGAGACCCTGAACACCCTGTAGACCCCTCCCTAAAAAATACGAAAAAAAGACAAAAATTAAAATGTGACTTATGACTATATTATGTATGTATGTATATTTAATGTTTACTGGATTAATGATGAAACACTCAGATGGGGATATAGCTCAGCAGTACAATGCCTACCTGGCAAGTGCAAGGTCCTGCATTTCATTCCCAATACCAAGAAATAAGGAAACACATGTTTCTGTTGTAAATATTACCATGGTTTGTTTGTTTGTTTGTTTTTGTTTTTTTGCCTTTTTTAGACAGGATCTCACCGTGCAGTTTAGGCTGGCCTTGAGCTCATGTTGTAGCCCAGGCTGGTCTCAAACTCACAGCCATCCTCCTGCCTCAGCCTTGGGAGTGCTGAGATTACAGGCATGCACCACCACACCTGACTACATAATAAAATCTTAAAGGGAATAAAATGTGCATAATGTTTATCTTCTTTACTCTTACCACAGAAGATACAGGGTCTCCTTCAACAATTAAGAGCCACTGACCAATTTTTATGGATTTGAATCCAAATTTTGGGGACCCTGTCAGTTAGCTCAGTTGTTTAAGCGCCTGCTCATGAAAATGCAGTCAGGAGCAGGATACCGTGATTTGAACCCTACCTCCACCGGCCTCACCAGACCCGCCCTTAAGGCAGGCTGAGCCAGCCAAAAAAAAAAAAAAATCCTTCCCAAATTCCATCACCTGATAGCTTTGTGACCCTGAATAAGTTCTTTCACTTGCTTGAGACAGGGTCTTCCTGTGTAGTTCAGATGGACCTGTCACTCACAGGAGTCCTCCTGCCTCAGCCACCTGCATGCTAAGATTATAGACGTGCATCAGCACTCCTTGCTCTAAAATGGTGTTGGTTAACCATTTGCGATGGTGCCAACTTCAGGGCTCTACTGACCTCAGCTGTCATTATGATAATAAAATTTCACTGAAAAGTTATAATTCACAGGTTTTGAGTCAAACACATTGCTGTGCTTACCACCGTACCTCAACATCTTAGTTGTCTGATGTCCCAAAGGACCATAGAAAAAGAAACCTTATTGAAAACCACTTGGTTGGGGGCTTGCCGGTTAGCTCAGTTGTTTAAGCACCTGCTCAGACCTACCCTTAAGGCAGCCTGAGCCAACCACAAAAAAAAAAAAAAAAAATCACCTTGGTCTGTAATATGATAACACAGGAGGACTGGCCAGATAGCTTGGGGGACCAAAGTGCCCGCTTAGGCAGAGCGCAGCTGGCTGGGGTTTGATCCCCAGCCTGCCATGCGGCCCCGGGGCAAGCTGAGACAGCAATTGAGACTGGGCGTGGTGGCGCGTGCCTGTAATTCCAGTGCTTGGGAGGCTGAAAACAGGAGAATCACTTAGAGTCCAACCTACGTAGTGAGATCCTGTAAACCCTACACACCCTGTACTAAAAAAAAAAAAAAAAAGAAAGAAAGAAAAGAAAATGGGGAAGATAATAAAATCTTGGCTCACTGGAAGATGATAAAATCATATTCAATAATATGACAGATACAATAAGGTCACGTGACCTTACAGGATTCATGACACCTCTCCAGGCCCGAATTTCCTTTCTTCCAAATGTAGACTGTAATCTCTGCCTTGCAGAGTTGTTCGGGGAATCCCATAAAATAATGTGTAATTTCTCCTTGACTTACCATGAAGCTACCTTTGAAGAAACCTATGAAAATGTGCTTCCCACACCTTACCTACACAACCCCTCCATTTAGCAATGCAGTACTCTATAGGGTCTCCTTGTTTCACCCTCAGGGGTTGAGGCTGACTGGGAGCTGAGACGCCCTCCCGTTACTACAGGGTGTTGTCCTGAATACCCTTAGCCCAAACATCATAATTGAAAATAAATTACACAAATACCAGATTGCAAAGAACAAAAGCCTCTTGCTGAAAACCAAATGCTTTAGGGCACTCCCTGCTCTAAGCAACCTTCATGGAGAGTCTTGACCCCAGGGAATCTCCCTTCAGCATTGCCAGCTGTTACTCTGGAGCTTCTCCAGTCAGACAGGAGGAGAAAGAGACCTCTTTGCTCGTAGATGTGAGGTGGGTAAAGGCTTTAGCATTCTTCTCAAGTGAAATGGCTGGTAGGTGAGGAACTAGGGAGAAGATTCGATTAATAGTTTATTTGGGGAACACCATGGAGTCAATATTGGAAAGAATTGCTTTGTAAATAAAACTTACTTAAAAATCTAGATGTAAGGGCTGCGGAAAGGAAAAGAAGCAGGCACTTTCCATGGGAAGTGACTGTGGTTAATGTAAACCATAGTCACCAACAAGCGCTAGTATGGTGGGGAGAGGGAGTTCGATGTGGCAGTTTCCTTTCTCTGCAGTGTCAATTCTACAGTCCCTCACCGGATCCTATCAGCCATGTTTCTGTCAGTCTGCTTGACCTTGCATCTTTTTATTTATTTATTTTTTTTTGGGGGGGGTGATGTTTAAAGCATATGCCCTTATGGTAAGACATGTCCACCAGGAGGGGTCACTCAGAAGTTCTCCCGGAGACAGTGTGGATCAGTACTTAAGAGCACGGACTCCAGAGTCTCTCTGCCTGCTAGTTCATTTTTTTTTCCTTCTTCTTTTAGCCTGCTAGTTCTGAACATCCACTCTGCCAATTACTAGCTGTGCATCATTGGACAAATTATTCAACCTCTCTGTGCCCCTCATCTGCCAGATGAAGTAACAAGAAATGCATCACAAAATTGTTAGGAAAATTAAATGACTTAATAAACTAAGTTAACATAATAAGAAACGCAGGGCTGGAGAGATGGCTCAGTGGTCTAAAGCACCTACTTAGAACAAGCTTGGCAAGGCATCAGGGACCGCGGTTCAATCCCCCAGCACCACA